TTATTTAAACATTCCAGAACAAACATTCAACTCTATACAAGATTTACAAACATTTAATTTTTCTTTAAGAACACTCTAAGGATGAGAGAGATATAGAGCAAACATTGATAGAGAAAGTACGTGGGGAGAGAGAGATACAGAGAGGAAAAATGAAAAGAAAATCAAAGAAATAGATCGATTTAAGAGAGCGAGAAATATATGTAAGAAGGAGATGTATGAGAGAGATGTAGAGCAAACATTGATAGAGAAAGTACGTGGGGAGAGAGAGATACAGAGAGGAAAAATGGAAAGAAAATCAAAGAAATAGATAGATTTAAGAGAGCGAGAAATATATGTAAGAAGGAGATGTAGAGAAAATCAAGGAAAGATATCATTGAAGATTTTTTTGGGTGAACAGCTGAGGTTTCTTTTTAATTTTAGATAAAAACGACACTTTCCTTTATTATATGTCTTTAATTGAATATAGTAAATTACTCTTAAAAAATACAAATGTAGGCAAAGAAGAATACCCACGAAAAGAGAAATTTTAAGGAAATTTTTTCTAAAATTTCCAATTGTATTATCCAATGGAATATCATAAATTTTTTATAATATATTAAACTTATGGGCCATGTAGCTATGCTATGCTTTGCATTATATGTGAATTGTGAAGCATGAATGGAGATAGGAATCCAAAAATTCTAGAGAGAAAGCAGCTCCGATCACTCATATGTAGAGTAGATTTATATAGGTTTAACTATTGCCTTTAAAAGCCTTTGTTGATATTTTCTACTTATTTCATTAATATATTATTTACTGATTTCATTAATATATTATTTGACTATTGTTTCCTATAATTTTTCTAACTTTTTATTTTATGTTTTTCTATTAACTTTTATTACTCTCTATGCTCATATTTTTGTAATTATATTATTTTTGTGTAGTTACTCTCGCCAATCTATGAAGCTCAAAGAACATAATCATCTTTGAGGTAAGTTGTAGTACTTTCATTAAATTTTCAAATGGTACTACTTCATGTGTATAGTACAACAAGATTTAGAGTGAGATTGTGGTCGAAAATGTTGGGTTTATGTGGCCTTTAAAGGCCTTATGAGCGTGTATTGAAATACTTTTATTGTAAAACATAAACTCAATGGGAGTGTGGTTCCTCGATGGCCATATTAAGCAAATGATGTTTGCTTATACCGGACTGTGCTTATTGATCTAGGCCAGATGGTTGGAAAACCCAAGGTACTTGGGCATAAATAATTAGCCGATGAGGGTTTTGGGTTAGCTCTTGATGAGGTCGGAGCTTATGCCTAGATGAGTGAGCTGAGGGACTGTATGACTCTTGTGTGTGATGGTAGGCCTACTGAAACAGGGGCCAAAACCTCATCCATATTCCATCACACGATATGCATATTGATAGATCGTTCGGGAAAACCAGATATCCACCTTTGGGCGAAGCGTATGCACGTACGAGAGATACACCTATGCGTCATAGAGCTGTGGTCGCATCAAGTTGTGGTGACCTTGACTCGTCTCTAGGGGAGGACCTGTAATCCACAAACTAAGGTTGCGACCCCTTAATTCATCGACCTAACTTTGGTGACCCGCTAATGAGCCCCTGCTTAGACTGTGGGTCATAGGCAATACTGGGTCGGTTCGATACAACTAGTGTGGCCTGTAGTCCACAGCTGAAGGTGGAGTACCCTGATATTACAGATTAGATTCCTAAAACCATATGGATCATTTTTCCATCATATTAATTTAATTGTGTTTATTTTATTATTGAAATGATTTTAGTTTTATTATTTGAATTTTTACAAATCTCTCAATATTTTATTTTATATTTTTGGACTTATAAAAATACAGTTATTGTTCTTATAAAGTTCTAAAAATTCATATATATATTTAAAATTGTTTTATTCAATTTAAAAAATAATATTTTTTTTATATAAAATTCCATTGGGGGCCCATAGTGCATATGGGCCCACCATGTGGCATATGGTGGGGGCCCACATGTGCCACAAAAGGGTGGCACGCCCCACCCTCTTTAGATTCTCTTGTTTGCTTTTAAGATAAGGTCAGTTTGATTTATGGTATGTGGTCAAATCTTGGAAGGGATATATTGATCATGGCTTTATCTATTTTCCAGCAAGTTTGTTTTAAAGAGATATGGTCAATTTGAATTTATATGGATTTTATCTTATTTATACTTGGTAGTATTTATCTACTTGATATTATTTAACATATTCCTTAACATTGATCGTGCAATTTTATAGAATGCGTGATATTTATTTTATTTAAATATATTGAGTAGAAAACGGTTTAAGGAAATGGGATAATGGTCCAAGCACCTTCCATAATATTGATGGCCCATATATAGAATTGATAGCTCAGATCTCTCACCTCACAAGTCACCTTGATCAAAGGTCTAGATTTAATCTCATGAAAGAGGCAAATTATGGGAAAACCCTAAACCTAAATATTCATTATAAATAAGGGTGCTCTCCCCCAATCTCAACACAACCTCTCTCTCTCCTCTCTTACCTAGTGGAGCATGCCCCACTCTCTTTCCTCCATCTTTCTCTCTCTAATTTGCTCTCTCTCCTTCATCTTTCTCTCTCTAATTTGCTCTCTTCAAATTTTAGGTGGTACTCTCTCTCCTCTCTAGATCTAAGTTAAAGTTAATTTTGGGGGTTAAAGTTTTAGTAGAGTTTTTAAGGGTGATTATCAAGTTTGGCCGAAATCAGTTATCCCGATTTAAGATTGAAGCTAGACTACAGATCCCGCGCCATTGGATGTGGTGACTCCGTGTAGGGTGTAACAGGTTGTGATAATATCCGAAATCTTTTCTTTTATTTGTTAAGTTCTTTTATTTTATATTCTCAAGCACAATATTAGATTGTATGAATGGCATCAAATAGTTGAGATTTTTTTTTTTTAGAATTTCTATTGTTTGTAATAAGACCATCTGTGAGTGATCTTGTTGCGAAAATTATAAGGGGTGATTATTATTAAAAAAAAAAAATGTATTTTCCCGGCAAAAGATCACATAGGTCTTTCTTTCAGAAAAACCTTGCCACTCAAAGGTATGTAGTTGTTATATTTAAATTTTACAATCACCTACTCGACATGTTTTTGGTTCACAATCTTATTTTGAGAACTAATTATGATATAACATCTCATAATTGCTAATAATCAAAAAATTTATGTTGATGTTTGACGTTGTTATCACATATAAAAATCTTCTAAACTAACATAATTTTGAAGAAAATGTATAAATATTAATGTTTCATCAACAACTAGGGCAGGGAGTTTACCCCGACCCAACTAGAGACCCAATGACCCAACCCGGTCCGGGTATGGGTCCAAGATTTGGACCCGAGCCAAGATTTGGACACTGCGTGTCAAGCTCGAGTCCAAATCTTGGACCCAAAGGGTAAATCGGGTCAGGTCCGGGTATTGGTGGACCCAACCCGGTTATTCTAATATGTTATAATATTTTTATATATAAGTTAATCAAGGTTAAATATACTAATATGCATACCTTTTTAAGATTTTAAAAAATTTAATGCCCACCACAGTTCCATGTAATTTTGATTATATGTTTTTGATCATTTTTAATATTTTTTTGTAATTTAGGCATACATTATTATGCAATTTTTTATTTTTCTATGTATAACCCTTCGGGTCTAGGTCCGGGTCGTTGAAACAAATTTTGGATATGGTCCCATGTATGTATTTTCGAGCCCTGTCTGGATGCGGACCGAACTCAACCCAATGTGACCCATTCCCAACCCGATAGGAAATGAATGTAATTTGTTAAGTCTTTTGTCTTGTTTTTTTTATAAGTTTCTTTCAATTAATTATGAATTTCAAAATTTTCATGAAA